GCTACGCCAGGCTTAAGCCAGCCTTACGCCGTGTGTGTGAACATAGCCTAAATGTGATTACAAGATGATTGAATTAATACTGTAAACTTCTTAAACCCTAAAAGTTTTGACATTTTTCAATTACCAGGGGAGGATTTAGGGGGGAGGGGCCGGCCCCGGCACCTCTTTTTGGGAGGTAAAAAAAATAGGAAATAAAAAAGAAAAAATGATAGCCCAGAACGCCTCAAATGTTATTTTTGGGCATCTAGAACACAAAAATTTTTAGGGGGAATTTACCCCGGACCCCCTAGGATGGTGTTGGCTCGTCGGCCCAACTTTCGGTCCCCCATATGGCCCCCCCCCTTTTTGGACATCTCTGGATCCGCCCCTGATTACAGATTTTTTATATGAACCTAAATTGTCAAGATCAGAAAGGCTCTGACAGTAATCTGGTAACACAGAATGCATTAAAATTACAAATTCAGATGTTTTAAGATTGATGATAACCTAATTTGTGATCATACAAAACAAACAATTAAAAGAGGGAATGGTTGTATATACATCACCAGTAATGTAAAAAGTTAGTAAATTGATCGGTTAGACTTGGCTTTTGATACCATTGTAAGGAAATTGCTCCAAACATTCTCTGACCATTTATTTTCACATATAAATTGATGTAGGATTTGAAAAAAATTAGAGCATCGCAAATAACATGGGGGTTTACAGTGATTTGGATGGGCCTGTGGCTCAAGAACGGTTAATGCGGATTCTTGATAGAAATCCGGGACATTTCAGCCTTTTTCTTTCTATTATAACTTGATTTTTGTATTCTAAAGTTGCATAAAAGAAGTTTTTAATTTTGGTCTAAAAAAATTTATAACTGTCATACTACTAATAATAAATAAAGTATTGTATACAGTTGGGGAAACAAGATGGATTTTTGTATTTTGTATTTCATTAGACTTGAACGCTACAGTCACTAATGTCTTAGTTATCAGTGGTTGCCTGGTCATTTCCGCTTATTTACCGTATAATGTGTTTTTCCAGTAGATCGTCATGGATGCGTTGCTATCATTAACCTGTAAATATAGCACTTGTACACTACGGGGATGCATTAATTTTACTGCAACATTTGGAAGGATTGTAGAATTTGCACACGGTTCTTGTGTCCACGTCAGCGACAATCCAAGCAATTATATCAAAATAGGAAACAAATAATGCAGGATGAATGATATCCAATTTAAATGTTGCAGTTAGGAATAAAAATGTGTCTGCTGATAATAACTTAATTTATTGCAAACTCTGAGAAAACAATATGATTTTGAATTTTATCTGAAAATTTTGATAACTTGAGAAAGTTTCGGAACATTAACATTACTTTCCGATTTTATGTTATTTATCAATAGTGCTTCATTTATCTAATTTCAGTCTAAACCAATTTGTATTTTAATTTGCTTTTTAGGTACTTGTTCTGAATGTTCATAGTTAATACTGAAGTTCTGAGGACAGAAAAAATATGTATTTTCATCTAAAAAATGTATATAAGTTCTCTAGATTCTCTAGAAAAAATGGTCTTACAATACTTAAATATGCAGACAAACTTGCATAATGCATAAACAAAAAGTATGAGATAAAAAATATGACCTAACAAGAACTATTACGATTTAGCTAAGATTATGATACTTAAAATTAATTTATATACTTATAAAAAGTCTAATCCAGATAAATAAAATTCAATGGATCTGGTTTCAAGAAATTTCAATCTATTAGAACTTCAAATGACAGATGGCTGGATAGAAAATACTGACTAAATTTAAGGCTTTTGTCACTTCGATTACTTTTATTTTACTAGAAAAGCAGTAAAAGGCAAAGGTTATTCATTATATTCACTACAATGGTTTAGCTAAGATTATGATACTTAAAATTAATTTATATACTTATAAAAAGTCTAATCCAGATAAATAAAATTCAATGGATCTGGTTTCAAGAAATTTCAATCTATCAGAACTTCAAATGACAGATAGCTGGATAGAAAATACTGACTAAATTTAAGGCTTTTGTCACTTTGATTACTTTTATTTTACAAGAAAAGCAGTAAAAGGCAAAGGTTATTCATTATATTCAATACAATGGTTCCAGTCATATCTATCAAATAGTTAACAAAGTGTTGGTTTTAAAAGAAAAGGTTTCCCAGCCAATCAAAATATCAGTAGGTGCCATAAGAATCAAAACTATTGACTTCCATGAGTTATTTTTCATGAAAAAAGGGCCAGTGTTGTCAAAGATTATCATTTTATTTGTATTTTCTTTGAAAAAGTATGGATAGTATAGTACTTCTTCTATAACAGAATAAACATCATATGTCTGTTACTGTTTGTATTTGTTTGTACTCCTGCTGACTACAACAAGAATAAAAACCACTGAGGCAAACCTCATTTTTATCATTATTGTTATTAATATTTATAATAATATTAATTTTAATATTAATTTATTTATTTGTATTCATTCCCCTCCTGCACTACTACTACTGCCACCAGTGTGTGGCTATGTTTTATGGGTCGATAAAACATGGGTACCGTACGATACCTTGATAATAGTTAGCCCTCTTCAGCGTAAGGCACCGTATTTTTCGACATTAAATGTGGAATACCCTGGCTCTACTACTTGGCTAGTACTGTAGTAGACCCTACAGTATGTTGTCAGTTTCTGTGGTTATTTTTTATGGGATTGTCAATGCATAGGTCTACGTACGTAGGTACGACGATATATTTTTAATATACTCTAATATACTTTTTTTTTGCGATAATTTAATTACAATTCCCCCTGACAAACACTGATGAATTGGCTGTAAAGACAGCCAAAATAGAGGCTTTCAACCTGCTTGAGTTCTCATTATTTTCCATCCATAACATAGACCTATATAGTTTTCCTGTTTCTATTTCATACCATCTTCGCTGTTTGGTTCCTAATACGATTTTTTGGTTTCATACCCTCTTCACAGCCGCTATTTGGTTCCTGAGATGTCTTCGCACCCGCTATATGGTTCCTGAGAAGTCTTTTTAGTAACTGCGCATGCTCGACATGGCTTGATAACGTCACTTACTCAATGCACATGCTCACTGGCTGTCTAGCATTTCCAAGCGCATGCTCACTGTGTTTTTATAGATAATTCACGGACGTTACTTGGTAACTGCGCATGCACATTGCTTAGTTCGGAATTCCCATTTCTTCGTAGTAAAAGCTACCGCTACCTACAGTTTCTTAATAACTATTTCCTCTTGATTTTTGTGACCGCCTAAAGGTGCGGCGCGAAAAAAAACAATTTCCATTGTCAAGCATCTAGACCACAACATAGTCTTGGGCAAGATCCTAACTATAAAACCAAGGTGGTTTGAATGAAAAAAATATTATTAACAAGTTAACAAAACCAATGCTGAACAGAGGTGCAGGTAGATGTAATCTACCTATTGTATAGGCTAACACATTAAGCAGTTAAAAGCTATAAACTTTATCCAGAGTTAAATGTTAAATTCGTTTAAGTTTTATTAAGTGTCGTTATTATTATTCACAATATTTTACCAATAGTAGTCTAAGTATAGAAAGACGAATACCCGGTTCATTCTAACAAGGACCAAAACAAGACCTACTATTGGCTGAGAATTTCCGTAGTGTTGAGCGTTTGAAAAGCGGGCAGCCTGTTGCCTTGTCAGAATCTGCATGCCATGAGGCCAACCAGGGGCAACTGCACTACCACCAGCCCACATTGCAGGATGAATCTAAAGAAAATAACATTATATGAAAGATGATTACAATGATTATCATCATTTATTTTTTGTTTAAATAATTAACATACAGAGAAAACTACAAGAATGCAATTTGTACAAACTTGTGAAGAAAATAATTATGAGAACGTAATTATAGGGTCCCCTGCAAAAAAGGAAAACCCAAGTGATTATATAATTATGGAGGGAATGGTGTAGTGTGAGTGTACTAATAACGAATATTATTATACATATGTGACGTGTGCACTAAAACAATTAAAATTACTAGAAATATGAACGACCAACACACGAATAGCTTGATACTCTATAAAAATAAAAGGCAACTAACATTAGTGAGAGCTTTAACTTCCGTACAGTCCTCTAGTGCAAAGTTTTAAAGAGCGCATTCTTCTTATGATCTTTGACATATACCGTACTACAGATATGCCTACATGATTTTTGTAGCAAGAAACTAAGATCTGTACTTATTTGTACTAATAATTAATGAAACCAAAGTTTAATAGTATGAACATTGTATAAATCCCTATTTTGATGTTTTCTTGCCTTGTTTTATTTATATTTTACATTCCTTTTTGTAATTTACAGTTTACTTTTGTGGAATGGATTTTCTTCTTGTCCATAGTTTACTTTGCCTTTGTTAGGTATAGATTACAGTACTTTTATTTTACTAAATTGTTGACTTTTGCATTCTGTACTGTTTAATAATTATATTTTGTATCTATTTTATTTAATTTCTGCATTTAACTTTTGCTTTTTATGATATACCTTTATGTGTAATTTGTTTATTGTAAATAAGGTATCGCACACGGCCATAATGAAAAATAGCATTGTATTTGTTGATTTGTGCTTCGTGAATAAATAAAGTTTTACTACTACCAGAAAACTCAAGGTATTTTGGGAGTGTCAAACTTTACAACTGACCAATCAGAACAACTGGTCAGGTCCTGGAATACGTGTTTGTCCCGAAGCCCACAAATGCAATTGTTCACTGTATGTTTAATGATGTTCTTTTGTGGGATCTTAGTTATTGAAGAGGTGAGGCTTAGTGGAATGGTCTATTATCAAACACCGAAAATCATTAAAAAAAAATGAAGGACCTATACTGGTCTACATTAATGTTAACTTTCTAAATTACATTATGCGGTCGTTCGGTTAGGCTGAGATATGTTTGTTTAAGTGTCAAAATCTCAGTCAGAATCAGTTTTTAACAAATTTGAAATAATTCCTATGAAATATTATATTTACTAGCAACGGAAAATATCATGTCGGCCGTTTTTATTTGTGATAACAGAACCTAAATCGAGGTAAGGCTAGGCCTAGCCTAGCAGCGTTGGATAGGCTAATGTTTTCGGCGCCTACGATATTTCTTCTCACGACCTATCGCAAAATCAAAAATGAAAAATTCATCCACATTTATTTTTTGTGTGGAACACAAAAAATCAAATTTCAGTCTTATTTTACATTTTTTTCATTCTTAGGAATGTCTAAATTCAGTTAAACTAGCAATTCCGTATTATATTTATAAATCTTTATAACATTATACAAAAATTAGATTTTTCTTAAAAACTGAAATTTTTCCGGGAATGGGGCTTTAAGTATTTGATTTGATTTATTTGATATCCTGAAGCTCCAATAGTCATAACTCCATGAGGTGCGTGCAATGGATCGTTTTTTAATGACGATCCGTTCAGACTGCCACCAACAATCAGCAGACGATGTTATGCCGCCTAATGCTCAAAGGGAGTTGGATTCGTCGGCAGATGGTCGTATGACCATTGTACAGCGCAGTGAGTACCCATCTTAAAGCCAAGTAGTGGAGAAAACAACTAGAAATGCAGACACTAATTCACCTTATTTTTGTATAAAGTTATCCATCATATCGTCGCTCACATCACAAACTAACACAATTAAATTCAATTGTGTTAGTTCGTGATATCAAAAAAGCGCGTCAAAATACGCGCTGTTATTGTTAAGGACTTTTTGTGTGGTAAAGAATACAAAATTGCTTGACAACCAATACGCACTCGTTTTGACGCGCTACTGTGATTTCACAAACTAACACAATCTACTTTGATTGTGTTAGTTCGTGATGTGAGCGATGATATGTTGCTCTTCCTCTCTAAATATAGTTCATTAATACTGTTCAAATAATTATAACTTTAGACATAGCCATTTAAATGCTGCATTGTCTTTACCAAAGAGTAAATATACAAAAAATGAAGATTATTATATAAAAGGGACTTCAGATACAAAATGCAGCAACATATTGTTCATTTAAGCATAAGATTAATAGGTTATTTTGATTTATTTTTGCAATTTATATTTAATTTTTTATTTTGTATAATTTTATATTATATTTATGTGCAGAGTCAGTCCCCAGGGAAGAAAAACCCTGTGTTGATCTGTGCCTCAGTGGTTGAAAAAAAGTTGAACACCTCACAATTTTCAATATCAAAATGCACATTCTAAAAACACATTTCTCAAGCTCAGCATCTTTTATTGAGATGCAGAAACTTCAGACAGAGGATGTGAAGCAAATGGCTAAACTAAAAGAGAAAAAGAAGTTTTGAAAGATACTACTGACCTAGATTTATATTTGAGTTCAACTCAATTACCATAGAAACATTGATAGTTTCTATAGCAACCAGACTTTGTAGCGATGTATGCTTTTTCAATGAATGTAAGATACCTTGGTTTGGTTTTTGTTTTTTTTTGTATTAATTGATATATTAGTGGGATATTCTTAAGGTAATAAATTCTATTACTAAATAAAGTAATTAAAAGCTATTTAATTAACACCTAGTATACAACAATTATGATGTATCACATTTTTATCTCAAAACATTTTAAATTACTGTTTTGGTCAGTGGAAACAGAAAATTAAATAAGTCAACGTAACAGTGAACACTGGAAGATATTAAGATAATACAACAACATAATAACAATACTAAAATAGAGTATAACGCCAACATTTTTTATTAAGATAAATAGACAGTATCAGGATACTGTACACAGCACTAGGTCTAGAGGGCGACATATTAATAATTAATTTACAATCAATCACAGGAAAGAACAACGTTTGTGTAGGACATGCCATAAAATTGGTACATGTCCAAAGGAGCATACTATTTATTGTAAAAGCTCAGTTGGTAAAGCAAAAGGCGGTAACCATGATTGATTAGAGAAATCAAGATTTTCTCGGAAACTGTGAGATACTACTATAAAATACATTTTATAGTAGTACAGTAGGCAGAATGTGGCGTAACAGACTGATTATTATAATCGTAACCACCCTTTTCCCCCCCTCCCCCGGGTTTTTAATATTAACAAATTTGTATCTTTAAGCAACAAGTGAAAAATCAGTTGCACAAATTATTAAAAAACTCTTTTTCCCTCCAAAGTTTTTTAGGTTTTTACTAAAGCCTGGCTATAAAAATATATTTTAAGATTTGTGTTTATATTCTCCATTCTTTATTCTGTCAAACTTTAAACACTAAATGGCTATGCGTGTACACAATACAAATCTTTACTTACTATTTATTTACATGTTAGATGTAAGGGTACAATTGTAACTCTGTATGACTTGCAAATACAAATTATAAAGATACCATCTAAAAAATGAATACAATAAAATGTGGGAACTGTATTAATATTGTATTTATTAATTGGTAAGGACTTTTTTTTTAGTTCTAAGTTTTAATTTTAAGAGTTAAAAACTGAAGGAAAATTAGACAAAACAAATTTGGTAATACAGACTATTTAAAATGGGATTAACAAGAAATTATGAACATTTAAATTTTGCTCATCAACTATGCAATCACCAAAAACTCGTTCCTGGATACCTGCTCAAATAATTATAGTTTGAGAAGGAAAATCAATTCAAACGACCAACTTTCAAAACTAATAGGTACGTACAAGGAAAGTCTAAATCCTTATTAGCATTTTTATCAGCAGCATACTTAGACTTGAAATTTTAAATTACTGTATTGTATTTGTATTTATATTATTGTATTTGTGCAATGTATAGACCCAGGACTATTTTTTATGTATCATTTATAATTTAGCTGCAAAGCTTTGATGATATTTTGAAATAAACTTAAACTTGGATGCAATGCAAGCCATTGTGATTCATTTTAATTAGGAATTAAGATGAATAAATAAATTATAGTCATGTCTAACTTTTCACTGGACCCCATGATGGATTCAGATTGTTCCAGTTAAATGTTCATATAAGCTTCCATACTATGTAAAAAAGGATGTTTATATCTTTATTGGACACTTTGTTAATGTAAAGAATTGAGAAAATAGAACAATGTAATGAATGAAAGAATGCAAGGTTTGGCCCAAAGACATTAGACATTTTCTATCTATCACAGATGTCCCAACTCATCAATTATCAGGTTGCTCTACCTGAAGCGGTCACTTAAAAAATTGAAATGCGAGTATTATATTATACAGAGCACTGTCAAACATGCTTCCTGACTTGGATGGGATATATTTTTCTGTATTGGAAAAAAAAACATCAAGAACAACAAATAACTACCAGCAGATAAACTAGCCTCAAATATATCATGCAGAATTCTTAAAATTTAAAGGAATTTCTGTTTTCCTTTTGAGAAAGTAAATTTCACTCTGATTATTCCTAGCAAATAAAAGTATTTCTGTGCGTAAGCATAAATTGTTCTGTTTCTCACCGAGGTTGCACCTGAGGATGTCCAAAACATTAGATTCCTAAGAGTAACCTCAAGGATTCTCGTCAAGTATTAGCTAGCTGTCTCTCCAAAAATCAACTAGTTAGAAGAGAAAAAAGGTCTCTTTCCAGTTGACAGCTCACCCTGTAGCATTATGCAAATAAGCAGTTGTGGGGTCAAAAGGTTACATTCCTACTTGAACTTCTTTAACTAAGTGTAATAGTAGTGCACTTTATTGCTGAAAAGTTGTTGAAGTAATTACGAAAACACCTTTATAATGTCATTATTATGTAAATTGTTTTA